GTCTTACCTTCGCCCGAGCAACGGCGGACACCACGGGACACCACGGGACACCGCGGGACACGGGTCAAGCCACCGCCGGACGGGACGTCGGAGGTGATACATTTGTCTTGGCTTCGCCCTAGCAACGGCTGACACCACGGGACACCACGTGACGCCGAGGGACACCGCTCAAGCCCCCGCCGGACAGACGGCGGAGGAGAAACATTTGCCTTGACTTCGCCCTAGCAACGGCGGGTTCATTCCTCGCGCGCCCACGCAGCTTCGCCTCGCCCGCACGCACGACCCGAACGAAACGAAACGATTTCGCGGTTGGGTATCTCCGTTCCATTGCGATCTCACCCCCAACCTCCGATTTCCGTTGTTTTTTCGCTTGCATGTTTTCGGAGGTTTCTCAATGGTTTCGGAGGCTTTCGCCAAGGCTCTAGAAAGGATGTCGGTCGTTTCTGGATGGTTGTTCCGAAGGTTTGAATCGGGGTGGGTTGAGGGTTGATGGGGATGGGGGAGGGCAAGAGGTGGAGCGGGGGGAGGGAAAGGGGTGCGGAGGAAGGAGAGAGGGGCAAGGGGACAAGGTAAGTTTGCTCGCCCCATTTCTGACAACCTATTACTCTTGCTTATCCCTTTCCAATGCGTTGAGTCCCGCTCTACTCTCAGAGCCAGGTGTCGGAATTCCGATATTCGGCTTGGCACAGAGCAAAGCAAGACGCGCACGAACCACCTTGGGAAGGCACAGAGCACACCAGAGGTATGGGAGCGGTCAGCGCCGCGGCGAGAGCGTCATTGTTCCCTAGGACGGAAGCTCAGTGGAAATCAATGCGGCACACGCTGCAGCGGGAACACTCTGTTCACTGACGCAAGAGTGCGGCCAACGCTGCGGTGGGAGCTTCGTTGAGTTGGATGGGGGCTCTGCATACAGATGACTTATTGTGGAAAGTGCTGCAGCGGGAGTACCGCTTTGAAATGCTGAGAAAGGTTGGATTTGGACAAAAAACGCCAAATCGAAAGGCACCTCGGGACACTTCTGTGTGTCAGAAACAGTTGCGAGATAGGCGGGCGCTAATACAGACGTCATCTTGGGATAGTAGAGAACGTACCTATATGGTGTACGTGTTGAGGATGGGGGGGATTCTGAGACGGAGATGGAGGAGGATGCGGAAAATGAGGGGGAGGGGATGATGATACTTCTCGGGACTCGTGTCTCCGGATACCCGTTGGTGGGATTGTGCGACAGGGTGCGGCAGCGTACTGCACGCGCGAGGAGGAGGAGGAGGAGGAGGAGGAGAAGAAGGAGGCGCAGGAGGAGGAGGAGGAAAAGGAGGAGAAGGATGATGATGATGATGATGATGATGATGATGATGATGATGATGATGATGATGATGATGATGATGATGATGATGATGAGGAGGAGGAGGAGGAGGAGGAGGAGGAGGAGGGAGGGAGCGAGGGGGAGAGGGAAGAGGAAGATGAGGAGGCCCAGCGGACACTCAACGCATCAACGATGTTATAATACATTCTCCCGCCAAGAACCCGCTCCTCAGGTCCCTATACGAACTTGTTTTCATTGAGGGAAGTGGTCCATTAGAACAGAACCGTCAGATGTCCCTCAACCGTGCTAGCACACCGTTCGTGGAACTTCCATGCCGCGGATCAACATGACTGGTGCGTCCTGACAGCTTCAATTCGTGCGGAAACTTTCTTCCTGGGAAGTCAACACAGATAATCAACGTGAGCACTGCGTCCTGACATTTCACATCGTGCCAACACACAATCTTTCAACTCCAATCATACGAGCCCTTCAAACTGTTGTAAACTTGTCAGACGAGCGTTGGCGGTTCTTAAGGCCAGAGCCGCAATTGAAAAAGGAACCACCCTTCATCCGTGAAGCTGCTGTAAACTGTTAAGAGGATTGTGTGCGGCGATAAGGCGAGAACCACGCGTTGAACACGGCTCGCTCGTCACCTGTGGAGTTGTTGCAAACGTTGAAGACGAATGTGCGCGGCGCCTCGGCGCGAGCGAAATAATGGAAGTGGCTCGCCTTCCATCCGTGATCCGTGGGGGCTATCTTGGGACCATCTCGGAGGAGATCGATCAAAAAAGGGGGGGCCACGTTAGAGTCCCCCCCCAGGAGGCCAACATGGGACAACACCTAGGTACGAACCGATGTTTGCCTTCTGGCCGAGGCCGTATTGGACGCTCCAACGCCTGCAAAAACCCCGTCCAGGTCCAAGGGGAGGGGGTAGGGGAAGGGGTCAAGACACCCTCCCCGCCCGTAAATTCCTCTCCGACGGGGAAGGGGGTTGAAAGAGGACCCCCCTGTAAACCACTCACGCCCTAAAGGGCTAGTGGGACTTGTACAATGTGTGCGCTTGCACCCCAGGGGCGGCGCCCGCGCGCTCAGGCATTTTTTTGTAGTAGGTATTCTCGGATCCCCAGATCCTGGTCTACTTCAAGCGCCTTCCTGCTTCAATCATCGGTCTGGATCTGGTTGTCTGTTGTTATTCTTTGGGCGGCCCAAGCCCAATCTACTTGTCCGCCGTCCGACTTCTTGTTTCCACGTGCTTCCTCCGACTGGCGGGTGCGCATAGCACTGCTATGCCCCCCTTCGCCACAGAGCAGGCTGGGCAGAAGCAGGACGCACTGCAGCAGCAGCAGCAGGACCCTGAGATCCGACGTTGCGAACAAAGTTGCAACATCGCGGGAATCTGCCATGACAGTCAGCTTTTCCCGCAGGTCGCATTTCGGCTTGTGCGTTTTCTGCCAGTGGTCGCAGACTCATCGAGTGAGACGAGTGACGTGCTGCTCATCGATGGTCTGCGCCTCCTCCAAAATAGTTACGCTGAAACAAACATCGGTGGCGAGCGGGGGGGTAGCCAGAAGATAATGCCTTCTCAGAAGGCGGCGGGACTTCTCAGAAGCCCTCGCGCCTTCTGATCAGTTGCCAGTGTCTTCGGGGACAGCTCAGACAACTCCTCAGAAGGCCGGGGGACTTCTGAGCCGTCTGCGAAGGCCCGCCCCTTCTCGCTTCCCCCGCTCGCTCGCCGCCGAAGAGATCGCGGCCTCGCGAGACATCACGCCCAGGATCCTAGATCTCAGCTTCTAGCGCCAGTTTCCCCAAGCCGCACCGATCTCTGGGCGGGTGAGAACGCCCGCTGTGACGAAAGGGCCACGCACAGATCTCAGAGGGATTAGCGGGCCGCTCGGGCGTCGCGTCCAGGTTGGGGGGGGGGCGATCCGCCCAGACCCCCTCGCGCGGTGGACAGACACGATGGGAGGCTCCTCGCTACCTTCGGCCTCTGACGGCCCGTACCTCTCGAGCAGTGGCGAAGCGTCCTGGTTCGCCCACAGGCCTACCAGAGAATGTTCCAAGGACCTTTTGTGGTTTGCGCGACATGTTCTTAGAACATTTTAGACATGTTTAGAACATTTTGTGTTCAGGACTACAGGAATGCCGGGACGGTCGGTCCCTGCTCAAACCTCGGGACCGTCCACACAACGACTCGGGATGAGAAGCCGGTCTCGGGGAAGGGGTGCAGACTCTCTGGGGGTCGGCGCGATAAGAAGGTCATGGCGTCGGGGGTCTGGGAAGGGGTGGGGGGCAGCGAGGGCGGCAGAGGAGGGGCCCTTGAGGGCCCCCACAGTGGGCCTCCAGGGCCCGAGAAGTGCACCTCTCGGACGGGGCCACAGTGGGGACCCATGCCAAGAAACACCCTGCTTGCCTCCAGGGAGCCCTGGGTTTCTTCGGTTTCGATGGTTTCGATGGCTTGGCTGTGGAAGGCGTGACGCTCCCACACCAGGAACCAATGGACGTCCTGGGGTCTCAGGGTTGTGTCTCTCGTGCAAGGTTTCTGGTGGTCGAGCTCCTTCTGCAGGGCCCGAGCAGTGCAGCCTTCGGACGGGGCCAGGGCGAGGGTCAGATCCGCGCCAGGGCGCTCGGGAGCGCTCGCAGAGCCTGCCAGGGAACTCTCTGAGAGGGCCGCGGGCCGCCCGAGACGTCCTCCAGAGCCGCCCGAGCTCGGAGATTCCCGACGTGTCCTCACCCGAGGTTGTCTTCGTCCTGGCTTCGTTTGAACCTTCCCCCCCCCCGCCCATTTGCAGTGGACCCGCAGGGTAAGCATGGGCAACCTTGCCAAGGGTACCCTTGCATCCCCGCCCCTTCGGCACATCCTTAGCGACTCTTTCGCCGGCCAGCCTCGCTCGAAAAGCGTCAGCACGGGCCTCCAGGGCCCTTGCACCCTTAACGCGCATGCGTGTGATACGACCAGAAAGAATTCGGAGCACCAGGAAAGCACCGAAACTTGAGGGCTTTCTCGTGTGCGGCCCTGGGAGGCGATTGTCGTTCAACACGTCGCCAGCGCGTCGGGCAGACACTCTTTCGATACCTTTTTTGTTGCTCGCAATTATTTCTGGGATGTGGTCCTTGAGAGCACGATGGGCACAACATAAGATACGGGTTGACTGTGTTGCCCCATCCAGGAGAGCCCAGAATCGAATCGACAAGTCGGACCAGCGATCGAAAGGAATTGGATCGGCGGAAATCGGCAGCCGAGTCGGGAAAAGTCGGATCGACAGAAATCGGCAAGCTAGTCTGCCTCCAATAAGACATCGGAACCCAGATCGGACTCCCAAGTCGGACCGAATCGGCCTCGGCAGCCATCGACACCGAATCGACTCGGAGGAATCGAAGCGAGCCCTCGCAGCTCGCCCGCCAGAGGAGGAGGAGGAGGGAGGAGGAGGGAGCAGGAGGAGGAGGAGGAGGAGGAGGAGGAGGAGGAGGAGGAGGAGGAGGAGGAGAGGAGGAGGAGGAGGAGAGGAGGAGGAGGAGAGAGGAGGAGGAGGAGGAGGAGGAGGAGAGAGGAGGAGGAGGGAGGAGGGAGGAGGAGGAGGAGGAGGAGGAGGAGGGAGGAGGGAGGAGGAGGAGGAGGAGGAGGAGGAAGGAGGGAGGAGGAGGAGGAGGAGGAGCAGGAGCGCGCTCGCCAGAGGCGCCCGCTCGCCGCGCCCCTCGCAGCTCGAGCCCGCCCGGTGTGCACTCGCCCACGGGGGAAGCCTGCGGGCCGGCGCGCGCTCGCCCCAGGCGAGCGACCGCCCCGCGCCGCCGCTGCCCCCCCGGCCCCCCCCTCCTTCCTCCTCCTTCCTCCTCCTCCTCCTCCTCCTCCTCCTCCTCCTTCCTCTTCCTTTCTGCACCACCTCCTCCTCCTCCTCCTCCTCCTCCCTCCTCTTCCTTTTTTTCTACCTCCTCCTCCTCCTCCTCCTTCCTCCGCTTCCTCCTCTTCCTCCTCATTATCCTTCCTCTTCCTTTTTCCACCTCCTCCTCCTTCTCCTCTTCTTCCTCCTCCTCCTCCGCCTCATCCTTCTCCTCTTTCACCCTCTCCTTCTCCTCTTCCCCCTCTCCTCTCCCCCCTCCGTCTCTCCCTCTGCACTCGTCGCGAGCCTGAAGCACCTAGTACCGTGGGGGCCAAGACCCCTCCGCGCCGCGAGAGGAACATCTCAGGCGATTTGTCTCTCCCCCCGACTTTTTTGGGGGGAGGGGGGGGGGGAAATTTCAGACGAAAAATGAGAAACCGCTCAGAAAAGCAGGGAGACCCTGGGATACACCCAAGGGGGCTATTCGGACGCACCCGTATCGAGGATGGACGCCCCCCCATCGTATATCCCAGGGGTGGGCCCCACATTTCTGGTCCTTCCCAAGAACTCCCAAAGCCTGGGACAGGGGTCGCCTTACCCGCAGTTAGAGCAGGCGACGGCGACGACCCAGACATGCTTGCTCGGCCTCGAGGTTCGAGGTTTTCGTCTGGGCCTCCAAGGTGAGGTCCGAGTAGACGGGGTCGGAGGCTCGCGCCGCATCGCCAATGCATCGCCGATGCATCGTCGATGCGGCGCGATGTGGAGCCAGACATTGTCCATCACGGCTTCGCCGACGCATCGCCGATGTCGCCGATGCATCGGCGATGCATCGGGGATGCGGCGCGATCCTCCGACCCCATTCACTTGGACCCCATCTGGGAGGCGTCTATTCCATGCGCGTTCGCTGTTTCCCGGCGGTTTTCTAGCCTCTGCAGCTTCGCCTCGCCGCTGGAGTTCCTGGGGTGGTCGAATCGTCCTGGACGGCCGCTGGAGGGCTGAGTTATGGCCCGACAGCGTTGACATACTCGCGTTTGGAACGCATCACGTCGGAGGGTTTTTGGCACCTTTCAGCCCCTGGGGTTGTCCGCCGGGCCCCGGGACCGTCTGGAGTCTAAACACGCTTGAGGATGAACACCCAGCCCCAGGACAAAGGGTCGGGACGTCCAGGCGCTCCGTATGGAACAATTCAGGGCCCCCCGTGTCTGGGTCCTCTTCCTCCTCGTCGTCGTCGTCGTCGTCGCCCTCCTCCTCCTCCTCCTCCTCCTCCTGCTCCTTTCCCCTCCCCTCCTCCTCCTCCTCCTCCTCCTCCTCCTCCTCCTCCTCCCTCCTCCTCCTCCTCCTCCTCCTCCTCCCTCCTCCTCCTCCCTCCTCCTCCTCCTCCTCCCTCCTCCTCCTCCTCCTCCTCCTCCTCCTCCTCCCTCCTCCTCCTCCTCCTCCTCCTCCTCCTCCTCCTCCTCCTCCCTCCTCCTCCTCTCCTCCTCCTCCTCCTCCTCCTCCTCCTCCTCCTCCTCCTCCTCCTCCTCCTCCTCCTCCTCCTACCCCCCCTCTTCATCCTCCTCCTCCTCCTCACACCACCCACTTTCCCGAAACAGTGCTTTCATGTTGGGGTTTTCCTCCTCCTCCACCTCCTCCTCCTCCTCCTCTCCCTCCTTCCCCTCCTCCTTCTCCTCCTCCTCCTTCTTCCTCCTCCTCCCCCTCGTCCTCCTCTCCTCCTTCTCCTCCTCCTCCTCCTCATCCTCCTCCTCCTCCTCTTTCTTCTCCTCATCCTCCTTTTCCTCCTTCTCCTCCTCCTTCTCCCTCCTCCTCCTCCTCTTCCTCCCCCCTCCTCCTTTCCCTCCTCCTCCTCGTCCTTTTTCCTCCTCCTCCTCCTCCTCCTCCTCCTCCTCCTCCTCCTCTCCCCCCTCCACCTCCTCCTCCCCCCCTCCTCCTCTTCCTCCTCGGCCTCCCCCCTTCTCCTCTTCCTGCTCCTCCTCCTCCTCCGCTTCCTCCCCCTCCTTCTCCCCCCCTCCGCCTCCTCCTTCTGCTCCTCCTCCTCCTCCTCCTCCTCCTCCTCCTCCTCCTCCTCTTCCTAGCCGTTTTGGCTGACATTTCTTTAGCGTGTTGTCACCGACACTCCAAAACGGCTGGATGTCAGCGTGCCATTTTGGCGCGGCTCTATTTTTTGGGCGGCTCGCCCGCGATGGCAGGCATGCGCAAGTCCCGCGGCGGCAGCGACGGCAATGCTCGTGGTGGCCCTCGTTGGACGTGCCGCCTGTGCGGGTGCAAAAGAAATCAGTCCTACTTCATCTACTGCAGGCACTGCAAGAAGTGGTGGAATGCCCCTGCTGATGGCCAGCCAGCAGCAGCAGGGGAGAAGTCTCGTGGTGACCCAGCCGCCCTTCGTCGAGACGTTGCTGGTGTTGCTGCGGGTCAACCCACCACCCCACCCATGGCTAGCCAGTCCACCGCCCCGCCCAGCAATGTGGACCTCGAGCAGATCGTCCAACTGTGCGAGAAGACAGGCAACCAGGGCGTGTTGCAGCAGGCTCAGCGGGAGCTCGAGCAGCTCAAGGCCGCCCCCGTCCCTCCTCAAGAACGTGCTGGCATGGCCCACAAGGAGATCGCCGGGCTTGAGAAGAAGCTGGGTAAGGACCTCAAGGCGGCCCATGCGCTTGAGCAGGAGTTAGACAATCTACGCAGCCAATTTGAGTCCACGTTGCCTGAGCTCGACAAGTGCGACGCCGAGTATAAGGCCGCCATTTCGGAGCTCCACCTCACGGTCACCATGCCTGCGCCGCCCGAGCCCCCGCTTCCCACCACCCGCCTCGCAGACATCCTGGAAGGTCGTCTCACTGGGCTGCAAATTGACGATGGTGGTCTTTTCGGATTGGAAGAATGCGCGGAGGTGTCGCCGCAGGACCTCGAGGAGCCCCCCCCCACCCTTTCCCTGAGTTCCGCCCTCCTGGCCCCCCCCCAGCCGCCCAGAGATTGGGATTTGGTTTCCAGGTTGGCCTCTCGAGCCCAGTTTAATTTGGATGTGTTGTATAGGAAGTGGGGCGCCGCGGCCGAAGAAAGAACTCGAGGGTGCGTTTCAGACTCAGTTGCCAGTCCATGGTGCCAGAGGGCGACAGGCGCAGCTCCGCTGGATCAAAGAGGTCGATGCGTCTCGCCGTTCGATGTCTGGGACTTCCCGCGCTTCGAGGGATGCTGCAAGGCGCAGGTGGCTTTGTTCTCGCTGCCGTCTTTGGCTCCAGCTGCGCGCGCTCGGCCCCCGTGCCCGAGCGCCGCAGATGGCGCCGCCCTCCTCCCCACCTTTTGCGAGCCGTGGTATCGAAAAAAAAACCTTGGGGCGGTTCGGGGGCCACTGACAGCTCCCGCGCCACATTTTCTTCTTTCTGCTCGGAGGAGCGTAGGCAGCAGCACCTTTCGGAGACTGCGGGGGATCTGCGCCGCCCGCCTGCTAGGCTCGGCGCGCGGGGCGGCGCGCGCCTCTCCCTCCTCCAGGCCGCGCGAGATATGATCATCTACGGCCCCCCCCAACAAGCATGTTATTGATGGGGGGCCCCAGCTCGCGCTCGACCCGGTCTCCCAGGCCCTTGCTGCTGCCGAGAGCAAGGCCCGTCAGGGAGATCATAGGAGCAGGTTGGAATGGATCCGTCGTGACATCGAGAATGGGGCCCGTCACGCTCATGGTGTTGTCCGAGGGGCTGCTGGTGCGACTCTGTCTGCTAAGGGCGAGGTGGTTTCGGGCCCTGGGGCCCTCTCGTGGCCCGAGCTCGAAGTTCGCGCTACTTTGGCACGCGCTGCTGTTTCCTGGGGCCCGCCAAGTCGGATGCAAATTCGTTCCCCTTGAGCCGTTGCCATCGCTCTCGGTTGAAGACCTGCGCCGGGCGGCCTCATCGTTCCCTGCCCGCGCTGCCTCCTCGGCTGATGGGTTCCACGTTCGGTCGTTCCAGCACTCGTCCGACCGGGCCCTGGAGGTTTTTTTTTTTTTTTTTTTTTTTTTTTTTTTTTTTTTTTTTTTTTTTTTTTTTTATAAAAAAAAAAAATCATTTTCAATGTGGGAACGATCGGATCTGCTGTCTGGGCGCATGAAGGTTGTTTCTTTGACTGTGCTTGCCAAGCCTGAAGGCGGGCACCGCCCGATGGGCTTGTTTTATTTTTATGTATTGTTTGTGGGTGAGGACTCGTCGCTGTTTCGCTCAGCAATGGGGGTCTGCCCGCGCTCGTGATTATTTCTGCGCTGGTGCAATTGCCTCTAGTGTCGATGCGGTCTGGCGGCAAGGGGCTCGGGGCGAGGTCGCGGCTGCTTCCCGGGGCTGCTCTGGCTCGGCGCTCTGGGGCCTGCCCAAATTCAACGAGTCCGTGGACCTCGACCTCCCCCTCGCCCGCTGCCGCAAGCAGTCGTTTCCTACGCAGATTGACCGCGTCTGCTACTCGGCCTGCCGCTCGAGCAGATATATGGCTATGAACGGGGGTGTCGAGGGCCCGCAGTTACCTTGGCGTTGCTTGATTGCTGGTTGCGGGTTCGCGGCCGCCTTCATCCGCGTCTTCGCGCCTGCGGCCTTAGGCGGCCTTAGCCTTCCTAGATCGGTCTCGCTCAGGGTGTGCATCGATGATTATGCATTGTCGTGCTCTGGGCGCCCCTGGGCTGTCGTCCAGGACCTTCTGGAAGGTGCGTTCAAGTTGCAGGTTGCGATCGAGTCCGATCTAGGCTGTGCGATCTCTGTTAAGAAGGTGGCCGTTGTCGCCTCTTTGCCTCTCGTTGCTAAGGAGATTCGTCGAGGCCTTGGCGCTTTCGGCGGCGCTCCCTGCGCGGCTGCCATCAACCTGGGCATCGACGATGCTGTAGGGCAACCAAGGAGGATGGCCAGGAGCGGTGTTCAAATTCAGGCTCGTAAACAGGATTTCAAGGAACAGATTCACAGACTTGGCGTGCATCGCGCAGACCTGGGTCGCCATGCCAGACGT